GGAACAGCTAGTAACTTAATATTTTATAATAAGTTTATTGTATATTACAACTAGAAAAATCAACTTCGAACATAACTTGGCCCCTTCTAGTAATTATTGGTTGCGGTAAGACGAGAACAACGTCATCTACGTGAAGCATTTCATAAATATCTTTGACAGGTGGATACGTAAAGGTTAATCTTTTGCTATTTGCAGTATTTTTAACTTTCCTTAGAAATTCTATTGTAGGGATATTATTTCTAATAAATAAAATCCGTCCAACAAAGTGCTTGACGCTTTTTTTCGTAGCAAATTTAGCTATGAGCCAGTCACCTTCGTTTAAATTATCAACATTGCCTGTGAAATACTCAATATCACTGATCCCAAACGGGATCGGTCCGGCTCCAAGTTTTCTTTTTTCCGACTGATCTTGTAAACAGATTTTTATGTAGTCATTTAATGTTTCATATTCCGAATCATCTGATTCTGCTATACTCAATTGAAAGTCGGAAATTTCAGAGCTTGATTCACTAATTTTTTTTTAAATTTCTTCTTATTCACAGATGTTGTTTTCCTTGATTTTGTTTTGATTTTATTAATTTTACTCCTTTTTTCACGCTTTACGCATGTGGTTCTAGTCATACTTTTTCGTTTTCGTGTTGTATTTTCTTCTTTTTGCATATTTATGTATTCATTATTTTTGTCCGTTACGCTTGAATCATTGTTTATTTTATTTATTTTATCCCTTGTAAATAATTTCATTTTCAGTGCTGATTGCGTAATAACTTTAGCACCAGCATCTATTTGAATCCTTAAGTTTTTCTGTGTTTTTCTTTCCTTACAGTCTAATTTTACATTGGAAGTTATTGTAACATTTGTTTGATTTGTTGATTGCAAACATGGTGGCAAATCATTATCATTTATCACTATAAATGGCAAGTTCTCTTTGTCACCTTTTCGATTTTTGCTTAATAAATGCACATCATTTGGTGATAGAGGAGTAGTGTAATTTATTAAGGAAATCATATTATTATTTATAACTGTTATACAGATTTTAATGAGACTATCTGGATTATAAAGCACATGGGATATATTTGACCATAGGAACATTTGTAAATTATTTCTATAAACATTTTCATTTGACGTCGAAGGCATTTCGTTAGATTTATTGGACGGAAAAACTATACCTCCATGTTCTATCTTCTGGGTAGTTTCAATAGGTTCAGGTGTGTTTTTTTAAAAAAATCCTATTTTGTCATCCAATACGAGCTCATTTTCTTCTATGTCTCTTTCAGTAGTCACTTCTTCTAATATATTTATCTCACAATCTTGCCTGCTGCTTTCTATATAATTAAAATTATCCTGATAGTTTTCAAATCTTTTGGATTTCTTATTTTGAACACTTTTGTTACTAGTTGTTTTTATTAAAATATCGGCGGCACAAACTGACTTGCCTGGTTCTGTACGTAATTTCTTACTCCTTTTCACTGCCATTGGTTTAGAACACCTTGTTTTTTGTAGGTAATCTAATAAAGCGGAATCTATTCTGTACACTTCTTCGCCAAAATACTCAGGTATTCGTTTCAAAATATTTCGGGCATTAACTGGCCATATTCCCGCGGCTCTAAATCCACTTTTAATATTATTACTTTCTCTGAGATTAATATTTTTTAATAATTCGTTCAAGAGTTTAGGAAAGTGCTTTTTATTAATAGTTGACTGTTCCGGATTTTGAATTTTGTAATTTGTGAGTACCTTCCTCCATTCTCTTTTTAAAGGGGCAAAAAACGCTACATCTAGAGGTTGGGTCAGATGTGTGGAATTAGGTGGAAGAAACACAAACCTAATATCATATTTTTGGCATAGCTCCACAACTTCAATATTTAGGTGACTAGACAAAATGTCACCTATTATGACTTTTGATCCTGATAGATTCTTTGTCCACTTTAGTATAATTGTTCTAAAATAATCCTCAAAACAGGCAGAGTCAAACCAACCCGATTTCGTGCAAATATAACGAGTTCCATCAGGACCTCCGTCAACCCATTCGGAATATAGATTTGTAGCTTTATATACTACATATGTTGGAGGAAGGAGGAAGACAGTCACCAGCTGCAGACACCGTAAACATAATCGAAACACAACTCTTAGAACTGTTTAAAATTCTTTCGGGATATTTTATGCCCCTTCTAAAAATGCATTTTAAATTACTCGGGTTATCAGACAAATTAGCCTCATCATAGTTAAGGATGTTACTAGGTGGAATATCCTTCAGCGTCGCTTGTAAATTATCGAAGAAATTTTGCATTTCTAGCAGACCTTTCTCGGCCCGGACCTTTTTTTATATTTTGTGTAGTTCGAACTGATAATTTTGATGAATGTCTATTTAAAAAAATTTCTACCCAAGTGTTTCCGGGCATTTTTCCATTAAAAATATGACTGCGTGAATTTTTTTCTAAATAATTAAAAACAAGCATTTTCAGGTCTAACTTGGTCATTGGAGAACCATAGTCACTGACAGCTACCAGAACATTTACAAGATTTTCTTCTTCGATTTCTGTTAGATGTTTTTGTCCACCAACCGTTTTCATGTGCACTTTTTTTGCCTTATTTATTATGGTCCTCCGTGGGTATCCCGAATTGTTTTTCGGCTTGTCTACTAGAAATAACATTTTTTTTTACTAGGTCTACCGCTATATCCAACATTTCCTTAGAGTAGTTTTTGTAATTTCTGGATCCTAGTTTCCTTCTATTTCTTTTTCTTTTTGTACATGTATTTGAATTATTATTACTGTTCATCCTATAAAAACAAAAACAATATATCTGAGAAACTATAAAAACAAATAATAAAAAAGGTTACAAAATGCGGAATTACGCAGAAGCGTAGAATACTATATGTAGAAAATACGATCGACGAGATCTTTCATTTGTGCTACTAACAAAAATTACAGCAAATGAAAAAAGTTACAGATGACAACCCTACGGGTAATAAATTGGTGGGCAATGTTGTCAACAATGCTCAAAAAAAGAAGTGTGTGACTTTGCCCACCACCATATTAGGTGAATTTATGAATTTTTTTGCGTAAATAGTAGTCTATATTATCCATTTTTAATATATTTACGGTTGTAAAAAAAATTACTTACCTGCTGTTACTGCAACTATCACTTTTCGGTAAAGTTTTTGTGCTGGTTTTTGCCCACCAAAAAACACTACCAACTTATACAAGTTCTGACAGGCAACTGAAGTTACATAGATGACATAACATCACTTAGTGTTGCTAGAAAAATAATGAATTTTATACTACAGACAACAAAATACTCCTAAGTTATGTCAAATTCGCTGTGTATCAAGTTTACCAAAAAATACCCAACTGGGCAAAGTCAAATCCCAAGGGCAAAGTTGCCAGGTTTTACGGTAGTCGAAAATCTGTCCGGTATTGCCCCAACGCACTTAAGTAAGCATCTTATTTTAAGTATAGTTTTGTAGTACCTAGGTACCTATTTTTTTTAATATAAATATCTTCATTGATTCAGGTGGACTGTGTGCTCGTTTGTCACCCTTATTCTATAAAAAAACCTATACTTTAACCTGCCGAATAAAACTGAAAAGCAAAAAATAATAACCCTTTTTCTTTTAGATTTTCTTTTTCTTTTAGATTACTACATATTTGGCGACAACTTATCGTAGGGTTACCAGATGGTCGATGTTCGTCTGGATTCTCCCGATATTTTAAATGATCTCCAGAGTCCTGACACAACTGAAAATCTCTAGACAAACAGCTCATGGGAAAATTAATGTATGGCCTTTGATTTAAAGCTGTGTTAGTAATTTGACTTTGAAGTACCTAAGTAAATTGTTTGAATTTTAAATATTTTATGAATACTACTAAAGGATCTAAATTGGTGGACTAATTCCAATGCCAAATGCATGTGCCAACCTAAAAATTAAGTGTACTTAAATACTAAACTAAGTTTAAAGTACTTTTTGTAGCCTCTTTATTAAAAAAAAATAAACTATTTTATTTTTAAAATTATTCATTTCTCCCGACAATAACCTAAAATCCCGATTTTCAAAATTTGTTCAGATATTTTGGTCTATCGATCTGGCAAACGAACTTATCTGTTAAACCTTATTTCTTTGAAGTTTGTTGGACCACTTATCATTAGGGTTACTATAAGTACGTTAGCCACTTTATTGAATGTTAGTATTTGTTTTGTATAAAACAAAACAAATACCGACATCTCCCAATGTTGCCTCTTACGACTTCCACGGGACGAAATGCAGTGATACATTATTTTACGCCGCACATGATAAAGTCTACTAGTGTTAAAGGTATGTGTGTGTGTAAGGGTAACAAACGTGGATCAAAAGGCAAATGGCAACTGATGACAAAGAACAACTTTGGGTTCTGAGAAGGTCTTATAACCAGCAAAAAAAATCTTCGTTTTTACTTACCATAAGACACACAGCTGAAGTTTACATGCTGTTACAATTTTGTACCAACTATTTGTGCAACAGTCGGAATACAACTGCAATGTGATTCTAACACAAACATACGTACCCCAGTACCAGTTCCTGACATGTAAGTTTCTTCTGAGTTCTAAGCTAAGAATGTGTTATTTTGCCTTTAATCACCGATGATTATGATCATTTGCAGCACCAGAGTGCTCCACCAGTGCGCTCGGTGGTGGATTGCCTACCGTCAGGTGGATGTGGATAGAACTGAGAGTTCTGTAGCAGTGTATGATGGTGGTGAAATTAATATTTTCCGTGATTGTAACTGTTCTCGAGGTTGTTCTGGTGAACTCTCATGTCAATGCAATAATGAAATAATTAATGTCATTGACCAAAAATGAGATAAACTGCAATATTAGTAATTAAGCATAACTGTTTAATGATAGGCTACTGTGGGCTATCAAGTAAACGCCCTCAGTGCGCGATAGTGTGCGACCACAGAAATCTAAATAATAATATTTAGATTTCTGTGTGTGCGACGCTCGAACGTGTGAATATAATTGTAATGGAGATTAAATATAGTGTAATTGTTGCCGTTATTTTAGTTCCATGGCTCAAGTAAGTTGTTGGTATTACTGTTTTTAACAATATCAAATAATTTTAAACAGTTAACAAGCTTTTAAAATAGCGTTTACCGTATACTGTAACGTGATTGGCATATATGAACATGTAGAGCGTATTTATTGTTTTTTTGTTGAAATCATTGCACTTTTACTCAAATGAAAAGCACATAAGTATCTGAATGATGATACAATTTAGATTTTTCGATTTCATAGTAAATACAATCGAGATATGATGTTAAGGAACGTTCAATTATTACGCATTCTTTCAGCCATTGTAAGTAATCTATCCCTCCCCCAATGTATAACACGAAAAAATAAAGAATATCGTAGTAATTATTTAATTAATGTATCGTAATAATAATAGTGAAGAATTTTTTAAAACTTATGTTAAACATCAAAATCAAATCAATCAAAATATTATACGTGGTAGAGCCATGCTGCAGTTATATTAGTAGTATAGTCGGCGGCACGAATGGGTCGGCTCGACCGGGGAAGGACCACGCTCTCACAGATTACCAGCGTAAAAGCTGTATTTAGTATGGTGAGTGTAGAGAACCGGAGACCCTTTTTACTGGAAACGAATCATTCCATCTTAGTCCTCACGGGTGACAACGCATCTGCATTTTAATTTGTAATCGAGGATAGATGTAGATGTCTACGGGCCGCAGCGACCACTTACCATCAGGTGGACTGTGTGCTCGTTTGTCACCCTATCCTATAAAAAAAATCAAAAGCTCTTCTGCTGACTCTTATACACGTGGCTATACATTCGTTAGGCTAATTTTCTTATTGTTGGATTAATCTAAAAATTATCTTACGTAAGATTTATTAACCTCCCTCACTGCCTTTGTCCACGCTAGCCAGTTTAAAAGGTGCAAGGCGTCTGATACTGAGATCAACGATGTAGTAAATTAAAAAAAAAAACTAAAAGAAATATAATTTACTGTTTTTATTCACTTTAATGAACTTTCAATTTAAAAATGACTTCAATAACTAAAATAAAATAAAATAATATCCACGTAATGTCGTCTCTAAAGTTGCAAGAAATCGCAAAATGTCAATACATACTAAGATACGTCTTAGCATGGACATTTTGCGATTTTATGTAATGAAGAATTACGAATAAAGTCCCGACTTCAGAAGATATTATGTAATCTGTAGTCAGGGTCACTTTAGTTTTTAAAGTGACCCCGAATTCAGATTACATAATATTATCTTCTTTACTTTTGATTAAAAGGTAATTGTTTTACCCCTTTGAGTGGTCTAATGAATATCACAAGTTCAAGGTAATAAAACAGAATGTCGCTTAAATAAGTACCTACACTAGAATCTTCATCCCCTTTTTTCCATTTTTTTATCATCCTAGGGATGGAATTTTTCTTTAAGTTTGTATGCCACCCCTGACGTATAACCCATTTAATAAAAATTATCTAAAAAAAAATATATCTAAAATGGTCGAGCCGCTAAGTCGATTATAGAAACTTCCCGTCTTTTTGAGCTCGGTTAAAGGTAAGTATACCTGTAATTAATCTAGGTTCATTATTTATGAAATCGAGACATGGTCCCTCGCTGCTGGTCGTATGAAGAAGCTCAAATTGGCACATTAAGCCACAGGGTTTCTCCGTGTGAAATTTGAACGTGGATGTCCGCAGTTAAACAAGGATAACTGAAGGAGCTTAAAAGATAAGTGCGCGGAAGTAGCAATCGGATGGCCATAAAGCTCCAAAAACTTACAACCAACGACAGAATGCGTAGTAGAACCACGTGGAGCATATGGCTACACGCAGGCTGCATAAAGCTGTACTGACTGGCAAAAGACCAAGCTAGCACAGAATATCATTGAAAGATAGCAGTATAATGCTGCTGTATTTCGTATGGCGATTGTAGAGAACCGGAGAAGAAATTTAAAATCCCGATTTTTTCAAGCTTGAATCCCAGACATTTTTAACGAAAGAATGTTTTGCTAATTTTATTTTAAAAAATTGTGAGTCATTTTTAGTTAATTAATACAACATACACGTTTTTACTGTTTTTTAAAATTTGAAATAGGAGCTGACTACGAAATCCCAACCAGATGCTCTCTAAACTAGAAGAAGTCCGGTGAAATCGGGACAAATGGATGCCCAGAGCCACATCTGTAAATTTAAATATTTAGTTTTAATTTCCTCAAACATTAGAATATGTGAGCAGGCCAGTACCATATTGCAGCTGTGAGACTTATTTAACAGACTTATAAACTACTCTTTTGCAGAGTGGAAGGTGCACCTCAAAGAATATGTTTCCCGAAGCATTTTATGTTTGGTGTTGGCACAGCTGCGTACCAGATCGAGGGCGCATGGAACGTTTCAGGTATTTTCATACAATAAGTAAATTAGAAACAAAAACTTTCAGTGTGACCTTAAAAATATTGTGGCGTCAAACAAGCAAATTAATTAATTACTTAAGTGTGATTTGCTTGTTCATTGATTGCTTGACGCCGACTCGAAATTACTTAGGTACACATACATTAGTTTAAGAACTTAGTAATTAAGGTTAATTAAAACTCATAATATTAAATAAATATATACTTAGGTACTCTTACATTAGTTTAAGAACTTAGTTATTAAGGTAAAAGAAAAAGGGTTATTATTTTTTGCTTTTCAGTTTTATTTGGCAGTTTAATTTTTTTTATTAAAAAAGTTATTATTTTATAATTTTTTGTGGCTATAATCTACTAATTACTACATGCTTGATTTTTGATAACTTTTAAAATAGCTACTTAACTTACCTTAGCAATTAAAAGTTATATAATCACTTGAGGGTATTGCTTTATATGATCTAGAGCCAAATAAGGTATTACAAAACCTCACGATGAACTAGCTTTATCAGAAATGCAGAGACTAAGAGGTCTACACACAAAAGATTGACAGGTCTAGAGCTCATTCATCGTGAGGTTTTTTTTGTAATGTAATGTAATTATTAGGTAATGATGTAATACACAACTCAGTATTAAATCTGTGGGTAAACAATAAATTACCCCTATTTTCCCACCTTCAGGGTAAATTTTTTTTCCCAAATTTCTATGGGACCAATTTCGAGATATATCAATGCCATTAAAAACATAACTTGTAAAAAAAAACCAAGTCTCGCAACTGAGTTCTGCTACCGTAAAAAGTCGTGAGATCCATGTAATACCAAGTCGGTTAATTTATTCAGTTCCTACTTAAGGGTCCTTCTGTTTTAAGTTATAACGTAATTAGCTAACCTAACAACATTTTATAGTGACCATATCAATTTTAATAGTCTTTTATGTTTTAAATACATAGATTGACTTGGCAATCGCATTAAGCAATCTAATTTAATATAATACGTATTACTTGTGAGATACATTGTGGTTTCATGCGATGGCCAAGTCAATCTATATATTTAAAACATAAAAGACTTTTAACATTGATATGGTCACTATAAAATGTTGTTATGTTAGCTAATTACGTAATAACTTAAGACAGAAGGACCCTTAAGTAGGGACTGAATAAATTAACCGACTTGGTATTACATGGATCTCACAACTTTTTACGGTAGAAGAACTGAGTTGCGAGACTTGGTTTTTTTTAGAAGTTATGTTTTTAATGGCATCTCATATCTTTTTGTATATAAGATAGTCCTAATTTTTATCTTTCCGGTACCTTCTACTTCTTGAGTACCAACAACGTACCTATGTACCTACACCTGTAATACATATACAAGTACACTGAGTCATTCATTGCAAATGTAACTTTGTATTTCTATATGTTTATATAGGATTACAATGTTATTTGTGCAGTTAGTGTATATAGAAAACTAGACAAAAATTAACAAATGTTTTAGTTTTTTCCTTGATTTATACACTAAACACTAATTGTATTCTAAATTTGAAGCTTCTATGTCTGCTAGAAGTGCCTTAGAGTTTTGATGATCGGTCAGTCAGTGAGTGACAAAATTAAGAAACTTTGACTAGTTACAATTCTTAAACTACTGGTTCAAATTGAATGAAATTTGAAATATACCATGATTATACAATGCTTACCCGGTAACTGAAAATTCAGGCTTCTAGTTTAATTGACTACGAAGTTATAGGGGGTCGAAAATATCCTGAATTGCTTCGAGAAAAGATGGTACGGCCGTGCCGCTTTTTTGCTCGACTTGGCGGGGGCGCTGCCGTGCCCCCAGATAAAAAATACCAATTTTCTTTGTGTCAAAAGAAAATTGGTATTTTATGTTTTGGGCCTTATTTCACTTTATTGTTTGTCTGTCTGTCTGCCCGTAGTTTCGGGTGAAATCTTGCAACTCAGAGAGCACTCCCTGATAAGCTAGGGACTTGAAATTTTGAGCATAGTTAAAAATGATGGCAATGTAGGAAAACGAATTATATATTTCGAGATATATCAATTAACACAAGAATTTTAAAATCGGACTACTATGTAAAAAGTTATGCTTGGTCATAGATAAAAAAAAATAAGCGTCGACTTGAGAACCTACTCCGTTTTTTTTCGTGGTTGAAAATACGCGACCTTTCTCCCTTGAGAGTTTGGGCTTTAGTATAGACTTGACTAAGTCACTCTACCCTAAAGACCTATTATATTCTCTATGCTCTACCCGAATTCGATCTTATTAAATTTGTTTTTCTGTTAATATTTATTATTGAATATCGTTATTTACAGTCCACTTTTAATGAAAATCATCATCCTAAAGAATTATTGAACTAATGCACAGACGGATCTTGACCTGACACTTGTGATGACCTTAATCTAAATATAAAGTGTTGTATATGTTTATTATTAATTCTTATACCAAATGATTCACTTATGCTGCTTTGTTTCGTTCTGTTGATTTATATGATATGAATTGACGTAACGGGATGCAATTAATTTAGAATTATACCTACGAGTATATCTTTTATCACTGTGCACGAATACAGTTTTAAATCCAGTTTGGCAATATTGTTATTGCGATGATAAATGATACATGGAAACTTTATGTTCTAATAAAAAAGAATTAAGTGCTTAAACTTATGTGCTAAATTACGAAGTTAACCAAGTTCAAAAAGGTAAAGGGGGACGGACCAGCACAGTGTTTATAATAGATTGTTATATTTACACTGATTATTTTGGACTCGTCTTGTCTCACTTGTAATTTTGCACGTCCAATATGGCCCGATTGAATAACTAGGTACATTCCCAAACGTCAATAAGCCTAATATAGTTCATGAGTTTTTAAGGTCTACAAGTGGCGCTTGATCACTCATTGATTCGCTGACTTACTAATTAGAAATTTTATATAAAGTGAAGCGTAAATGCAAGATAAAAATCGGAACAACTGTAAGTAAGACTGGCGCCCTAAGGGTTCCGTATAAACCTAAAGGTAGTTAGTAGATAGTCCATCAATTCCGGAATAAACGTGGCCACGCTGCAGCTATCAATAATATGGTTGTAGCAAAGAAAGAAAGTGGACATGGTCCAGCCTCGACCATGTCCACTTTCTGGAACGAAATCGATGGATGTAGGTGGCTCGGGACTGTGCTTTGTGGAATGAATTGTGGAGGCCTGTGTTCAGCAGTGGACTTGTGAAGGGCTGTAATGATATATGAGGCATTCCATCTTAGTCCTCACATGTGACAATGCATCAGCGACTAAGATGGAATGCCTCGTTTCAAATAAAAAGGTTCTCCGGTTCTCTACACTTAGAATTAAGCTGCCATTCTTGTATTCTGTGAAACCGTGGTCCTTCACAGATTTTACATTTCCTTAGATTTGTCTTAGTGTTAGGAAAGTTTTTTTAGTTGTTTAATTCATTTTTTTATTTCTAAAGTTATTATATTACAAAATACATTAGTTCCGTGTGAAAAAATTAAATCTGTATAGATTTCATTCTTTTTGATTTCTTACGTTAAAAAATGAAGAGTTCATTTGTTAGGTAAAGGCGAGAGTATCTGGGACCACTACACCCACTACCACCCGGAGCGTATCTTCGACCACAGCAGTGCCGACGTGGCCGCGGACTCCTACCATCAGCTCAGAGAAGATGTGCGACTGTTGGTAGAACTGGGCGTGCAGCATTACCGCTTCAGCATCTCGTGGCCGCGGATACTGCCGATGGGACTTAGCAAGTATGGAGTTACAATTCCGATGGTCCGTGTTATTCAAAAAGCAGTTAAATTGATGAGAATTACAGAAATCTAAATAATTATGCGTCATTCAAGAAACTAGTTCAATAGGTTGAACTCGCAAAAATCTAAATAATTAGGTAATAGAGTAAGTAATACGTGGTAGAGCCATGCTGCAGCTATATTGTGGTTGCAGCACGAATGGGTCGGCTCGACCGGGGTAGGACCGCGCTCTCGCAGATTACCAGTGAAAAATAGCTACTTAACGGTGCTGTGCTGTGTTACATATGATGAGTGTGAAGAACCGGAGACCCCTTTTTGCGGGAAACGAGGCATTCCATCTCAGTCCTCGGGGCTGACAACGCATCTGCATTTTGATTTTTAATTGAGGATAAATGTAGAATGTCTATGGGCCACAGCATCCACTTAACATCAGGTGAATTGTCACCCTTATAATATAAAAAACGGCCACATAGGTTCCCCCCTACAGTATTTACATTCCAGCGTATTTCCCTTTGTCGCCTCTTACTACACCCTCGGGACAGTATGGAGTAGTGGATATTCTGACACTGTTACTACACGGTTAGTTACATTAGTAGGTACTTTGTATTGTATTTACGGGCTGTGATTTTATCGTAAACCATTTTTCTAGCGATGTAAACGAAGATGGAATTAGATACTACGGTGCGCTGATAGACGAGCTCCTTGCACATAACATCGAGCCAATGGTCACAATGTACCACTTTGACCTGCCGCAGAGTTTACAGGACTTGGGGGGTTGGACAAATCCGATCATTGCTGATTACTTCTTGGATTATGCTCGGGTATGCATATCTTTTTTATTTGTGAAATTGTAGGTAATTATTTTATTGGTACCGAGGGGGTTTAAAATTTTTCAAACGTAAAACGTTGCTATCATTTACTCCAGGTCGTTTTCGACCACTTCGGCGATCGAGTCAAAGTGTGGTTCACGTTCAACGAACCCCTATCATTTTGTCACGATGGATATGGTGGTTTGGACGCTCCTGGCGCTAACAGTAGCGGATTCGAGGCCTACTTATGTGGACACAATGTACTTCGTGCGCACGGGTACACATACAGACTGTACCAGCAGAACTACAGTCACCTCCAGCGAGGTAAGTGTTGAACGTACCAGCAGAGGTACAATCGAAGTCAGCGAGGTAAGTGACGATTGTATGAGCATAAGTACAGTCGCTGCCAATGCGGGGAGCAACAGTACAGTACAGTTCATCTAGGGCGCCCCTTGCCGACTCTCCCTTTCACTTCTGCCAACATAAATTTGCTTTGACACTCTTTATCAGTCTATTTTTTCTTCGATATCTCGTTGAAAGCGTTAGGTACCGTTATAGCTTAATAAAGTCCACTGCTGAACATAGGCCTCCTCAATAGATAATAGTACACGCTGCTCGTACAGTAGATATTCATCGGGATAGTTACGACTGTACAAGCTGCTTGTATAGTAGATATTTATCGGGCAGGCTGCGACTGTACAGGCTGCTCGTACAATAGATATTAATCGTGCTGGCAGCGACTGTACACGCTGCTCGTACAGTAGATATTCATCGTGCTGGCAGCGACTGTACACGCTGCTCGTACAGTAGATATTCATCGTGCTGGCTGCGACTGTACACGCTGCTCGTACAGTAGATATTCATCGTGCTGGCAGCGACTGTACACGCTGCTCGTACAGTAGATATTCATCGTGGTGGCTGCGACTGTACACGCTTTTTTTTATAGAAGAAGGGGCAAACGAGCATGCGGCTCACCTGATGTTAAGTGACTACCGCCGCCCATGATCAACCGCAACACCAGGAGAATTGCGGGTGCGTTGCCGGCCCTTTAAAAAGAAGTAAGCTCTTTTCTTGAAGGTCCCCAGGTCGTACCGGTCCGGAAAAATCGCCGGTGGTAAACTATTCCACAGAGAGGTTGTACGTGGAAGAAAACTCCTTGTGAAACGTACAGTGGTGGACCGCCAAGCATCCAGATGGTGTGGATGGTATCGGGACGTTTGACGTGTAGTGCGTTCACGAAATTTGGCGGCTGGGATTAATCCGAACAATTCCTCAGAGCACTCCCCGTGATAGATGCGATAAAATGCGCAAAGAGATGCAACATCTCTTCGCAGCGCCAGTGAATCGAGCCGATCGGAAAGCACTCGGTCGTCGACGATTCGAGTCGCTCTGCGCTGGATGCGGTCAAGTGGAAGAAGCTGGTACTGGGGAGCCCCAGCCCAGAGATGGGAACAGTATTCCATGTGCGGCCGAACCTGCGCCTTGTAAAGTTGCAGGCGGTGTGCCGGCATGAAATACTGTCCCGCTCTGCTGAGCACGCCAAGCTTTTTAGAGGCCAATTTGGCCTTCCCTTCCAAGTGACCACGAAACTGCACGTCACTCGATATGTCGACGCCGAGGATTCCGATACTGGCTGAGGCAACAAGGGGAGTGCCTTGAAACTGAGGGGATACGACAAAGGGGTTCTTTTTAGCGGTTAACGCGCAAACTTGTGTCTTCTGGGGGTTAAACTGGACTAGATTTAGTCGCCCCCAATCCGAGACTCTGTCCAGCAGAGACTCGACTTCAGACACAAGTTTGTCCCGGCACTCGGAGACGTTTTCCCGAGAAATATTGGCTCGGCCGGTGTAAAGAGCATCAGCAGTGCTGTCATCTGCATAGCAATGAATGCTACGGGTATGCAACATGTCATTGATATGCAGAAGAAACAGCGTTGGCGATAGCACGCAGCCCTGTGGAACACCAGCATTAATAGGCTTGCAATCGGAGCTTGCACCGTCTACAACGACCTAGATGCTCCGATCTGCAAGAAAGCTGGTGATCCAATCTCACATTTTCTCGGGAAGCCCATAGGAAGGGAGCTTCGAAAGAAGCGCTTTGTGCCAAACCCGATCGAAGGCCTTCGCAATGTCCAAACTAACGGCCAATGCCTCCCCCTTGAACTCTACTGCCTCCGCCCATCTGTGAGTTAGGTAGACCAGAAGATCACCAGCTGACCGACCACGGCGAAAACCGTATTGGCGGTCACTAATCAGCTGGTGATCTTCAAGGTACCTCATGAGCTGGCAGTTTACAATGGACTCCATTGTTTTGGAGAACAAGGAGGTGATGGCGATTGGCCGGTAGTTGGACGGGTCAGAGCGGTCGCCTTTTTTAGGGATCGGGTGGACGTAAGCCGTCTTCCATGATTTTGGGACTACGCCTAGGGAGCTCTGGGAACTCTGGAGCACACGTCCTCAGCACAATTGGGGGGATTCCGTCAGGCCCACTCGACTTGTGGATGTCCAGGGAGAGGAGTGCTTTGCGAACCGAGCGCTGTGTGAAGTGCACTTCCGGCATGGAGCACTCACACCGCGGGATGGTCGGCGGAGTACTCCCCCCGTCATCGAGAGTCGAGTTAGACGCAAAGAAAGAGCCTAGAAGATCGGCTTTCTCCTTTGCGGTATGGGCCAGTGAGTCGTCCTCCCTGTGCAGAGATGGAAGAGATGGCTGACAGAAATTCCCCTGGACAGCCTTGGCGAGAGACCAGAATGCACGGGTTCCAGAAGGAAGGCGAACTAGTTTCTCGCCAATTCTGCCTATGTGCTCTGACTTTGCCCTGGCAATGACTCTTTTGAAGGACCTAGAGGCGGAATTATACTTCTTTTTTAGAGCGCTGGTGTTTACATCCCGGGACGCTGATGCATCAGCCCAGGCTTGGTAGCACTCCTGCTTATAGCATGATGCTATTTTACAGGAGCGACCAAACCATGGCTGAGACTTGCCTCCAATGGGCACCACAGAGGAAGGAATAAAAAGTTCCATACCCTGAAGTACCACATCAGCAACAGAATCCGCAACAACGTTGGGATCATCCGGCGAGAAGCAAACCCGCCCCCCAAGGGTAGGATGCAAAGAATGACCGCATCCCATCCCAATCGGCTGACCTATAGTGCCAAACACGGCGGCAGCCTGCAGAATGCAACCGCGATTTCAGCGTGAGTGGCACCACACTCCGGACCAGACAATGGTCCGAGGAGCCTAAAGGGGCGTCGACGGAAATCTGATATCCGTCCGGGTAAGAGGTCAGCAGAAGGTCCAACAGGGAAGGTGCATGATCCTCCACATTTGGAATCCGCGTAGGCGAAGTAACCAGTTGTGTCAGACCATATGCCAAGGCAAAATCATGAACAGATCTCCCCCGCATGATCGGTTAAACGTGAACCAAGCCATTCGGCGTGATGGGCGTTAAAGTCGCCGAGGATCACGATCTCTGCGGAGGGGATCTGCTGTAGCAACGAATCTGCAGCCATTTGGACGTGGTCGAATAGTCGGTCTGTTTCGGCATTACCGCTATGGGACCTATAGAGGCACCCGTAGACGCGCGGATGGTCGTCGCTGTCTACGCCTAGCCAAAGGATGGACAGGTCCGAACCTTCAAGTCTGCCGAGGCGTCGAGAGCAGATGACCTTTCTGACGTAAACGCAAACTCCAGCCCGAGGCACAAAGGAGTGTTCCAGTTTGTACCCCGGGTAGGAGAGATACGAGACATCAGCCAAAGAGGATACCTGCGTCTCGGTCAGAAAGAGCAGAGCCGGCCTCGCCGTCTCGAGATGGTAGTGGACGGCGTTTAGGTTAGAGTGAAGTCCCCTGATATTGCAGAAATTCACGGACAGCGTGGCAGGGGTCGCCTTGGTCTTGTTGCTCCGTTTGCCCCGAGCAGTTGTAGTCTTGAGCGGAATTAACGCTGCTCGTACAATAGATATTCATCGTGCTGCTACACGCTGCTCGAACAATAGATATTCATGGTACTGGCTGCCACTGTACACGCTGCTCGTACAGTAGATATTCATAGTGCTGGCTGCGACTGTATACGCTGCTCGTACAATAGATATTCATCGTGCTGGCTGCCACTGTACACGCTGCTCCTACAATAGATATTCATCGTGCTAGCTGCGACTGTACACGCTGCTCCTACAGTAGATATTCATAGTGCTGGCTGCGACTGTATACGCCGCTCGAACAATAGATATTCATCGTGCTGGCAGCGACTGTACACGCTGCTCGTACAATGGATATTCATCGTGCTGGCTGTCACTGTACACGCTGCTCCTACAATAGATATTCATCGTGCTGTTTGCGACTGTACACGCTGCTCGTACAGTAGATATTCATCGTGCTGGCTGCGACTGTACACGCTGCTCGTACAATAGATATTCATCGTGCTGGCTGCGACTGTACACGCTGCTCGTACAGTAGATATTCATCGTGCCGGCTGCGACTGTACACGCTGCTCGTACAGTAGATATTCATCGTGCTGGCTGCGACTGTACACGCTGCTCGTACAGTAGATATTCATCGTGCTGGCTGCGACTGTGCACGCTGCTCGTACAGTGGATGCGCACAGTTTGGCACAGTTTTTTACTCTATCTCCGTGTTTGTTTCCCTCTATCGCTGCCTGCGACACCCACAGGACGATATGGGCTTGTAGATATTCATACACCGCCACTACACGGTTAGAGGCGAAACACCTAACGTATTATCGACAGTGGTGAATCTTTCCTAGTGAAGTAGTGTTGGGGCCAGTGGTGTTGGGATTAGAGATGATGTTGATGGTGCACATAATTACAGGAGGGAGGTTTTGTTAATAGAATAAGGGTGACAAACGAGCACAAAGTCCACCTGATGGTAAGTGGATGCTGTGGCCCATAGACATTTCCATTCATCCTCGATTAAGAATCAAAACGCAGACGCGTTGTCAACTCTGAGGACTAAGATGGAATGCCTCTTTTCCAGTAAATAAGGGTTTACGGATGTCTACACTCACCATACGAGACACAGCAGTATTAAGCTGCTATTGTACGTTGGTATTCTGTGAGAGGTGCTCTTCAAACGACGCAAGACATAAAAATACTTTTGTTCCCACACAAAACATACCGGCTGCTAAAATAATGACTACTGGTGCATTTTTTGAAATTTCCTATATTTTTTTTATATAAGAGAGGGCAAACGAGCATGGTGCTCATCTGGTGGTAAGTGACTACCACCGCTCATGAACAACTGTAACGCCAGGGCAGTTGCGGTAGGATAAATTGAATAAATTGCGTTCAGTAGTCGATTAATGAAATAACATATTGCTATAGAAATAACAGAAGCTTAGATCACTCTTGGCATTTTTCTCTAACTGTGCGAGAAATTTAGTCACAATCGCTTTGGCCATTTTGAATATTAACCCAAATTCTTGTATTAATAGCATGCAAATAACGCTATTCATCATCATTATCATTACAGCCCTTTACAAGTCCACTACTGAACATAGGACTCCCCTAAGGTATGCCACAAAGCACGGTCCTGAGCCACCTGCATCCATCGACTTCGTGCATGTCTTACCAGGTCGTCACTCCATCAAGTGGGTCTAGGGGGTCACCCTACACTATGCCTACCGGTACGAGGCTGTCACTCGAGAACCTTTTTTCCCCATCGGTTGTCTGTTCTTCGAGCTATATGGCCGCCCATTGCCACTTCAGTTTACTAATCCGTTGGGCTATGTCGATCACTCTGGTTCTATTGCGGATATCCTCATTTCTAAGTTTATTACGCAGAGAAACCCCGAGCGTCCTCATACGGCCAGCAGTGAAAAATAAATAACGTTAAGACAGTTAATCCGATATTATAGACATATACATATTTATAGATTATAATCTGTCAAATAACAGGTGTGGTGGGGATAGTGCTCGATTTCGCGTGGTGTGAGCCAGCGACTACATATGAAGGCGACCAGAGAGCTGCCGAAGCTGCGAGGCAGTTTCGTGTGAGTAGTAATATAAAGAAACAACGTAACAGCTAGTTTATTACTCTGTGATTTATTTACTTACACTGTGTTAACGGCCTACACGCGACCGATATCCAAAAAATCAAAAATAACAATGCTTATATTGTTATTTATGAATTTTTTTTTTGGGAAGAGAAGAGCTTATTACTACTACTATTGTTTGTTATCGCCCTGTCTTCTAGAGTTCCCACTACTCAAGTGCAGGAAAATGATAGTCCCGTATTTACCAAACTGCCATGTATTCATATTATTCAGAATAAAAACTGGTTACAGTTGTGTATCGCGCGGGCGCGGGCGGGCGGGATGTAGCCGGCATGGTAAATTTGCCAGTTTGCCACACAGATTGTTGTTTGACAGCTCCGCGATGCAGTAGCTTAGCAATGAGTTGCGGCATACGTGGTAGAGCCATGCTGCAGTTATATCAGTAGCATAGTTGTAGCACGAATGGGTCGGCTCAACCGGGGAAGGACCACGCTCTCACACAATACCAGCGTAACAGTAGGTTAATACTGTTGTGTTTCGTGTGGTGAGTGTGAAGAACCGGAGACCCTTTTTACTGGAAACGAGGCATTACATCTAAGTCCTCACGGGTGACAACGCATCTGCATTTTGATTCGTAATCGAGGATACATGTAGGTGTCTATGGGCCATACATTTCACAAGAATAAACAAGGGATTCGAACACGTTTTTTTTATAGGATAGGGTCACAAATGAACACACAGTCCACCTGATGGTAAGTCGACGCTGTGGCTCATAGACATTATACATTTATCCTCAATTTAGAATTAAAATTCAGATGCGTTGTCACCCTGATGACTAAGATGGAATGCCTCGTTTCCAGTAAAAAAGTTCTCCTGTTCTCCGATCTACAGACACTTTACAAAACACGGTAGCATTAAGCTGCTGTTTTTACCTGGAGCAATTAAGTATACCATCATTAAGATAAGATAAGCTAAGATATTTTGAGCAACTATTCCCCGCGTCCGGAATGAATGATAAATGACTTACATATTTTATCACGGGTCGATATGGGGTAGTAGATATTCTGACACCGCACCGTCACTATACGGTATTCTTTTTTACTTAATTAAATTAAAAAAAATCACTTTAAAATATTTTAAATTTTAAACTTCTTCTTTCTATGCAAATATTGGCAAAATATGTACTAGAAATTATAATTTTAAAACTTAACTAAGTATCGCATTTTTATAAAATAAATTAAAATCTTTTAATTTAGTTAAATAAAAAATAATAATATCTTAAATTTACGCGAACATTACACATTGAATAAAACTATATAATACCTATACGGATTTTATCGCGTTTAATAATAAGTTTATTTTAGCTTATTTTTAATTCCCGACGTTTCGGGTGCTGTAAAATTCACTTTGAGGTTTTGATTACTTATGTTTCTAGTTCGGTTGGTTCGCCCATCCGATATTCTCGTCTGAAGGTGACTACCCCCCCATCATGAGGGAGCGCATCGACGAGATCTCCAGGCGCCAGCACTTCCCACGCTCCCGTCTGCCCACTTTCACCGCAGAAGAAGTGACGCTAATCCGTGGTTCATCAGATTTTCTGGGATTGAACCACTATACCACGTACTTGATTGCACAAGGAAACGGAAAAATATATCCGCAGCCGTCTTTTAAAACCGATATGGGTGTCGTTGTTACCCAGAATCAGGAATGGCCAAAGGCCAACTCCAGTTGGCTGAGGGTAAGTACTTCGATCTTGCCATTCTTAAGGTTCCAAAAGCAAAATGGAACAGTTATAAAATCATCTTGCTTTCTGTCAGTATATCCGCCATTGAGGTTTTTCTCCGTGTGTTCCACGTTAGTAATTGACATTTGGCATAGTTATAACAAATGATTACCCAAATACAGGCGTGAAGTAAAAAACATGTATTTTCTATTTACTTACGTGGTTTCTATTTGTGCTACAACTATACTACTAATATAGTTGTAACACGAATGGGTCGGCTCAACCGAGGTACGACCACGCTCTAACAGAATACCCGCGTAAAATAGCAGCTTAAAGCTGCTGTGTTTCGTATTAAGTATTATAAGCATTACGATTATGGCAAATTCTCCCCACAAAGGGGGTGGTGATGATTAAAATGACAGCGAAGAGCTTTTTAAACGTAAATAAGAGTTACAAACAAGCGCACAGTCCACCTGATGGTAAGTGGATGCTGTGACTCATCGACATCTACATTTATCCTTAATTAAAAATCAAAACCTACGTTATCACACGTGAGAACTAAGATGGAATGCCTCGCTACCAGTAAAAAGAGTCTCCGGTTCTCTACACTCACCATACGAACCACAGCAGCCATTACTGTGTTACTCGCTGGTATTCAATGGGGCGTAATTCTTATCCGATCGAGCTAAGACATTCGGACTGCAGCCATATTAACCAGACCGAGTTTCGCTCACGGCGGCCAGTATAAACTGAGATTAGCCGCCTGCTAGGGCAGAATTATACTGGCCGAGTGTACGCGCAAGCCGCAAGCACAGGTGGTCTATTCTCTCACAGTTATTTAGGAGTGCCGCCAGATCAGAAGACCAAACTGTCTGGACAAGTTATGAAAATATCGGGATTTTGGGGTTGTTGTCTGGAGAAACAAATATTATAAACAAAAAAGTAAAATAAAAAGTTTACTTTTTAGGGCTACAAAAAGACAACATATTGTTGACATAACTAATTGAACACTTAATTTTTAGATTGCCACATGTATTTGGCATTGGACTTTACTGAGTCCGCTAATTTGGATCCTTTAGTAGTATTCAGAAAAGATTTAAAATTCAAACAATGTATTTCAAAGTTCAGTCTAATTACTAACTCAGCTTATATTAAATCAAAGGCAGCTGTGAAGTGAAGAGAAGCTGTTTGTCTGGAGATTTTGAGTTTTGTCGGGAGTCTGGAGATCAGTCAAAATGTCGAGAGAATCCAGACGAATCCTCACCATCTGGCGACCCTACTCTCATAGCTCAATGGGAAGGTTACCCGACATAACATGAGAGAGAACAAGACCCCGACATAACAAAACCAACAGCTTTACGTGTTTTCCGGAACGGCGGCGAAAAATCACCATGTCCCAACTCTCAGCTGATACTGAGAATTTTTTGACAGAAAAACCCAGTACCTACCTAATTGATGTTGGGTTGATTCGGAATTCGAAACCGGGACCTCATGATCAGCAACCGTAGACCAACGAGGCAGTCTTGTTACATGTTATATTACATTGCAAAGTGTAGTACCATGTTTAATTTATCGACTTGGAACATTTAAAAAACGAGCTTATGTTACCAGGTGTATGTTATCAGGTGAGCCGCATGCTCGTTTGCCCCTTCTTATATAAAAATACCTCACTGGATCGTTGATGTAGTGCTCATGATCATCACACGGGTACGATTCCCGGGTCGGGCCAAAATCAATTATTGGGTTTCTCTGCCAATAAATTATCAGTAGTAACCCGAAGTCAGGATATCCTGTCCCGTGCTGAGGATAATCCTGTCTGTCCGTGCTGGTGGCTAATTTCCATTGAGACGGTCTACCGTGACCGAAAGTCCGTCTGGAGGACATTATTATTCTTATAAAAACAAAACCTAGCCGTATCGATCAACTAGACGGTGTTCCCCATAGGTGGTACCGTGGGGCTTCCGACGAGCACTGAACTACATCAGGCAGAAGTACAACAACCCGCCCGTATTGGTGACTGAGAACGGGATATCTCTGGAACGTTCGAACCGAGATGTTCGCCGCGTGGGATACTTGGCGTCATACCTGAGTGCGATGTACGCGGCCATGTCAGATGGATGTGATGTACGCGGATACACTTATTGGAGCTTCATCGACACCTTTGAATGGACGAGTGGATTTTCGTAAGTATGGTTACCAGTACAACTTATTAAAGTTCACCGTTGAAAATAAGTCTCCCCCATATATTGCCTCATATGGGCATTTTGCCAAAGTTGCCACGCTGGCAGGCAGGCAACCGCAGTTTAATTTGAGTTGTTATCAGGAAGATCAACTGTTTCAGTTACCATATTATGTCGCGTCTTACGACATCTTCGGGACGATATGGGGTAGCGGATATTCTTACACGCAACAATACGGTTTTCGTTAATTCGTAAATATTAATCCCACCAAAAAAGGCAAGGGGTCCGATGTGTATACGTGGTTTGGCCACGCTGCAGCTATATTATGGTTGTAGCGAATGGGTCGGTTCGACCGGGGAAGGACCACGCGCTCACAGAATACCAGCGTAAAATAGCAGCATAATATTGCTGTGTTTCGTATGGTAAGCGTAGAGATCTGGAGACCCTTTTTTACTGGTAACGAGGCATTCCATATTAGTACTCAAGGATGACAACGGATCTGCGTTTTAAATAAATAGTAGGATAAATGTAAATGTATAGACATCTACATTCAGGGCCGCAGCATCCACTTACCATCACGTGAGCTATGTGCTCGTTGGTAACCCTTATTCTAAAAAAAATTATAATAAGAGTTTTGGGGTCGATAAGAATTGAGATTTGATCGAGAGAAAGCTCAAGTCGTTCCTTAAGGCGACACCGCGAAAAAATGCACATCCTTTCATCGAATAGTATAGGACTATAACACCACTAACGAAAGTGGAATTTTGATATAGGTAAATTCATGTCTTTATCTTGAATTTGATTGTTCAAAAACACGATTGCATAATTTTGACCCGATCATAATCATTTGCGAAAACACCTCTAAAAAAATCACTATAGTTGAAATTACAACGAAATTACTTAATCTATATGATTGGGAATCACTCAAATATATTCATATTTTTTTATTTTTAAGATTCTGACAATTTCTAAGCGCTTTTAATGGTCGCGGGCGCTACGCAATTTTAGACTTTATGTAGAAATTATGTATTCACTCAGATCAGTACGGCGATAGCCTGGAGCCACTTTTTCGATGTGTCGTCTTAAATCAAGCATAGGATCTATCGGATTATTAAACATTTCCTCCGGGTTTCTTGCTGGTTCTTCTCAGGGTAGAGGATTTTTCCGAACAAGTAGTAAAAGCATAAATGAGTAGGTGTTCTTGTAATCCATATTGAATTAAAATTATTTTATTCTATTTATTTAAAAGAGAGTAGAACTTCCAAACACGCGTCAACACGCGCTTGATAGGTTTGCCAGTTCGGAAGACCAAAATATCAGGACAAATTTTGAAAATGTCGGGATTTAAGGGTTGTTGTCGGAAGAAATAAATATTACAAATAAAAAGTTGATTTCTTTAAATTAAGAAGCTACAAAAAGTACTTTAAACAAAACTAATAAAGGTACACTTAATTTTTATATTGCCACGTGTATTTGGCATTGGACTTTACTAGAGTTCATCAATTTGGATCCTTCAGAAATCTTTAAAAATTCAAACAATTTACTTCAAAACTCAGTCTAATTACTAACTCAGATTTTATTAAATCACAGGCAATACGTTAACTTACCGAGAATCTGTTTGTCTGGAGAATTGAATTTTGTCGGGAGTCTGGAGATAATTTAAAATGTCGGGAGAATCCAGACGAGTTCCGACCATTGCGCAACCGCATTTTTTTAATTGTTAGATAGAAGACGTCCATCTTCTGCTTTGTTCCCATCTATCGAATCTTCTCTTACGACACCCATGAGACAATTCTTGATTTTATATTTCAATCATCTATGAAATATATTTTTTAAATATTTTAATTAATTATATTACAGTCAAAACTGTAAATATCACATATTTAGAGATTTTTTCTGGCATCATTTACAAATTGCCTTCGGATTTGGGTCGAATTTAGTAATTCATTTTATATTAGCGACCCGCCCCGTCTTGGCACGCGTGATTTCTGGATCTCTACAAGAGCGCCACTCACCGGGTCCAGCTGAGTTTTTAAACCATCAGGGACCAAATACGACAACAATTCAAATCCACACAAAAAATCATTAAAATTGGTCGAGCCATTTTGGAGTTTTTGCGAGACAAACTGGATGACCTTTTTTACCGTCTGTAATGCCTATAGCACTGATATTTTACAAAAAATAAGAGCAAACATTTTGAATTAAATAAATAAATTAATTAAAATTTATCGATATTCAAATCATATCCACCTTCCATACTTTACGAAGGGCAATAAAAACAATTAGACATCTTTGGCCTTGATAATTCGCAGGGTCACAGGCTCAAGGGGCAAAGAGCAAAGTAATTGTTCCAAAAAAGTTTTTGAAATGAAAAAATTTAATTCAAAATTTTTGTTTTTAATTTTTGTAAAATATCAGTGCCATAGGCTTCAACTCCATTCACATGTTACAACTATTTTTTTACAGAATGTAAAAAAGGTCATCCCCAGTATATACTGCTAGTTTATAGAGAAGTTAATCTATATAGATTAACTTCTCTATAAACTAGAGACTTAACATAGCTCAGAATCGGATCATAATACAAAAATGAATATGAAATAAAAACGTGGTATATTAAAATATTTATCAATTCATGTTCAACAGCGAGCGTTTCGGTCTATACGATGTGGACTACAGCTCGGCGTCTCGCAAGCGAACGCCGCGTTTGTCCGCGAGCTACTTCTCCAAATTGGCGCGAACTCGCTGCCTACCCGACTCGTGGAATTAAGAGGATTAGGTAGTTCACACGCAATAGAGTTTATATATTTGTTATATTGTTTAAGACCAATGATAGGTTCATAATTTTTCATGTGGGTGTTATATTATGTGACGTATTCTGTATATTATAAATTAAAGAAGTAATTTTTTTGTAATCGTGTTTTATTTTATTTGAGCTTTATGACCATTATAATGTGAAGATATTTAATATTAATTATATTTATTTTTATATTAGAGAAGGTAACTAACGTCGCCCCTGTACAACTACAACACCAGGAAAATCGCTGGTGCGTTGCTGGCTTTTTAAAATGAGTAAGATCTCTTCTTCAAAGGTACCTAAGTCTTATCGAACCGGAGAAATCACTTGTGATAATTGGTTCTGATTGAAATGCAAGATATCTTCGCAGTGCCAGTGTATTTTGTGAGGGGTTTCAACATCTCCCCAGTTCAGAGCCTGTGATGAGAGCCGGTCTGCGCTGCATTTGATCAAGCGAAAGGAACTCACACTGTGGTGCCTCGGCTCTCAGGTAAAAACAGTATTCCATGTGAGGCCGAGAACCTTCACCTTGTAAAGTTGCAAGCGGTGCAAGCACACCAAGCTTTTTAGAGGCTAACATTTCGTTTGTAACGTGTCATTTTTAAACCTTTTTACTGACCTACTGACTCGAAAAGAAACGGCGAAGAAAACTCCGCAGGTATCTTCTTTTTTGTCATTTTTTAAGTTTATAAGTTATATGACATATTATTATAATATATGGAATGGAAAACGACCACAGACCCTGAAGAAACTATGTTCTTTGATGAACTCAAACGAGACAATTACTAATTTGGAGTTTAGTGTATCTATACCCAGCAAGCAGACTACTACCCAAGTAGTAAACAGGTTCAGGTATAATGCATATATCCATCGCCTCTCCTCGCCCATATTAAAGGGAAGAATTCTGATTCAAATAAAACTAGTTGAACATTCTCACTTTATTTTATTTAAGAAAAAAATATTTTCTTAAAACTAAAACTAACGGAAGACTGGACAGTTACACTCTAAATTATCTTATTGAAATATAATTTAAATATTTAATAGTTGTTTATAACGGATGAGGCAAAAGTAATCACCCTATTGGAAGACGCTATAATTTTTGCAAATGGCGTCAAATTTCAAATCGGTTTTGACCATAGATATAAGGAAGAAGTTTTTAATATTTCTATGGTTTTGACATATTTGAAGTAAACAGATGTAAAATACATGTCGACAATCCATAAATCGCTACACTCAAAAACGCAGAATAATTGTTTCTATATTTTTGCCCAATAAATAATTCGTCTGTAGTGTTGGCACAGCGTGAGTTTTGTTGCAGCTTTCCCGCCGTCCGACACCAACTGGACAAACTGCTCGCCCACCTTGAGGAGACTGGGACAACACAAGATGCTCCTCGGCGTGGCCGGCTTCGGACTACCGTTCTGCTTCCGTTCTGCTGAGAATACGCCGCGGTAGCCGAAGATGTCGAAATGGACTCCGGAACATCGACCAGACGACGTGTCACGCAATCGGGCCTTAGCACGCGGTCCCTACAACGAATTTTGGTAAAAGACCTGAAGATGTTCCCTTACAAAGTTCAGACAAGGCATAAGCTGTTAGACCGCCAAACGCGCGTAACCTACTCTCAAGCCATCCCGAATTTCAAACAAGAGATGACGATTTTTCGTCGAAATTCATCATGAGCAATGAAGCTCATTTCCTTCTCAATGGCTACGTGAACCACCAACATTATCGCTTCTGGGGAACCCGAAAATTTACGTGTGATCCACGAATAGCCATAACAACCGCTCTAGGTTGCGGCATGGTGCGCTGTTTACGCTGGAGGAGTCATCGGGCCATTTTTTTCGAGGACGCCGCGGGCTACGCGGTTACTGTGAACGGTGACCGCTACAGAGTCATGATCAACGAGTTTCTTCTTCCTCAATTGGATGAGCTGGAACTGAAGGACACGTAGTTTTAACTGAACGGTGCAACGACGCACACTGCCCAAGCCACAACCGAGATTTTCAAGCAGGCATTTCCGGATCGCCTAATCTCTCGTTTTGACGATTTGCACTGGCCGCTAAGATCGCCCGATTTGACCGTACCGGACTTCTTTTTGTGGGAGTTTTTGGAGTTTCGTGTTAACGTGAACAAGCCTCAGACTCTGGAAGTCCTCAAGGACAACATCGTGATGCAAAAAACGTGATGTAAAATGTCATAAAAAGGGCCCGTATGTTCATCAATGCTGTCGGAGGGCACTTGTATAATGTCATCGTCTCAACTTGAAAGAATAATTCTAATGAATTAACCATAAATAATGCATAAACCGAACCGAAGTTTTTTATTTGAAAAAAAAAAAATTGCAGCCAAAGAACATCGGATGATTACTTTTAGCTCATTCTGTATTTTGCCGTTTTTAATATAAGTATTTATACCTATATGTAGTTTTATAACCCTGTTTATATGTGGCCGTTTATATATAATAGATTAAAATGTGTATATACAATATAAGTACGTATTATCAAAAATAAACAATATTTTATGAACATTATAATATTTTAGGAACATTGCCCTTTAGTCAATTGAAGCAAATCGACAGACAATCGTAAATTAAGTTACCATAAGCCTCAGACTAACACTTGAATATAGACGGAGCACTGCCTATATTTAAGGTGACGCCAAAACCATGCTCCACCACTTGACTTACAGTTGGGCGCACATATATGCGCCTAAAACCACGTTCTTGTGTTGCAAATGATTTCAGAGCATACGTGTGCCTGAGTACGTACTCTTACGTTAGAGTGTGTACGTACGCACGCTGTGCTCCTGTCTTTATTCATTTGTTCGAGTTACAACCGTGACTTTTTTAAATTACATATGGACAGAATAGGTTAATAATGTTTATTGCACGAAGCTCGAGTTAGATATGTAATTAGTAATAACTTTTTATTTTTAAGGGAATGTTTGATGTAGTTATTTATTAATTCGTTGGACAATTTGTTAAGTACAAAAATTTTTTACTCTCTTCACATGTAAGTATACTCGTATGTATGTATGTGCTATAACATTATGTGTAATTTATATGCACAACTTCCCTGTGCACGAAATAGTTAAACAATTGAAATGTTCATATATGATTCACGGGTCACTGAAATGGATCATAGTATAAAGTATCTAATAAATATTTAAGGCATATCATGAGCACCATAATTTTTAAAATTTACAAATACAATAGATAAACTATTTAAACACTTTGAAAATCTTAATTGTGTTTATTATCAAACAGTTAAATTATATTAATACATTTATAATTGCTTTACTAAATAAGCTACGTTTGAGGTAAACTACGGTATTATATCCTATAATACACACATATTATATATATATATATTATATATATATATATATATATATATACACAACATATAACAAAAACCCTGTGGTTCTCGTTAACTGCGTGATCAGAATCAGTATCCAAGTGTATAGAAATAATTTTTTTTTCAAAAAAACACATTTAAAAAAATATTTTAATGATATAAAATTAATTTGCAAATTGTATGGGGTTTTATTATCTCTGCATTGGCCGAGGAGTAAGAGGATTGTCAAAGACCCCGCATTACCGACACTCGTGTGAGTTGTTAGGGGAAATAAAATTACATACAATTTGCAAATTATTTTTTTTTCATTAAAATAATTTTTTTAAATGTAAAAAAAATTATTATTTCTATATGCTTGGATACTAATTCTGATAACACACTTAGTGGGAACCACAGGGTTTTTGTATATATATATATATATATATATATATATATATATATATATATATATATATAGGATTTCCCGTTAAAAAACAGACCCTGTATGGCTGCCATTATCACAATATGTATACAAACATGTAAATATATACAACAAACATGGATGTAACTAATACCTAATACGGTAAGCATTGAATAGGGCAAAACAGTCGCCGATTTACAATTTGTGCGTAACTTTGACAATTAAATAAAATGTAATTACATACGGAATGTACATAAGGGTGTTAATTGACATACAGCCAAATACTAAAACGGTACTCAATTTTAAGATGACGTTAAGTCTCGTGGTATCACCACATGAGTAAAGAAACCGACCAGAGGGGAAACTCCATACAAACGGTGAGCTCTCACCGACAGGTTCACCGAGTCACCGATGCTCCGTCGGAGTACAGACCGGTATTGCGCCGGCTCAGCTCAGTCAGAGTATCCATGAAAGGGATATTAGTCGTGCGCATTTAAATAATTAGACCAACAATATTTCGTTATTTTATATATCAATTAATTTATTAAGTTTTTTTTGCAATTAGTAAATAATTAGATTTAATTAAAATAATAAGAGTTACTATAAATTTATATAAGTAAATAATAAGTTTTCTGTATAAGCAAAAATGTCTAATAGTTTTACAGTATGCATGAATAATTCTAGACAAAATAACGATATTTCTTTTTTGTTTTCAAGAGATCAAGTGAAGTAAGTACCTTTTTTCGTATTAATACAATAAAACTATATAATAACATTTATAGGTAAGTGAGAATGTGTTGACAAGTATATCACCGTGTAATGAAGTGGGTCTCACCTCCTTGAAACTTCAGTCAGTCTAACCTTGACAGTGCCGTAGACGGCAGGATGCCCTACGTAATAAGCTAATAAGGCTCAATGTATGACTTTATACACTCACTTTAGTATAGAGGTAGGGATGCATCATGTGACAATCCTATCAGAATAGGTATAAGTTTTCGACGTTGTTCGGAAGCTTCCCCTTTGGTCCTTACTCTTTACTCTGTGGTATCACTGTGTCTTTAACTTAAAGTTAACTTAAAGTAAAAAAAGACAACACGAGCCTTGACGGCTTCTTAAGGCGCTACTCCTAGCGAACGACCTTGAGCATTTGGTCCGCCTATGCTTCTACACTCCACGCGGTCTCGCTACAATATATCGCGTAAGAAATACGCCCA